AAATAAAATAAAATAAAATAAAATAAAATAAAATAAAATAAAATAAAGTAAAATAAAATAAAATAAAGTAAAATATAAAATAAATTAAATTAAGAACAATGACACAAATTACAAAAACACGAAGGCAGAACAAAATGGATTTCGTTGTGTTGTGCCATCTAATCATATATACATATGTATGAATAAATCAATATTATTTTTCAGGTGATTACTCTATTCGAAAATAGTTTTGTTTTAAAGCGTTCCTATATATGTATATATGCTATATGTATATGCATATATTATATGTATATCGTCGTTTAAAGCACAAAACCGAGTATCGTCACTAAACCGCGTAACTGACATTTGCTGCCAAAAATTGGATTTGCTCACACAAGCTCTTGGCTCAATCCTTATCCATTCGTCCTGAAATATACTAGCCAGAAATGCGATTGCTTTATAAAAAAGAGAACCATTTTGAAATATGAGTGTTTTTACTCTCTAGAAAATAATTTATGCAACCTCGCATACGCGGTTTTGCATTTTGTTGATACGCGGTTTTGTGCTTTAAACGACGATATGTATATATGTTAAATATGTATGTACCTGAATGTATCGTGAAAAAAATATTGTATCTACCCCACCTATTTTGAAAGGTTACTGGAGTGGCTATTTGGGTTATAAAAATTAGTGCCCTTGCCTAGTTCGAGCGTACACCCTCGCGACTAGCTTAACACTACCGTATGTCAGGATAAAATTTTATTCGAATTAACTGCGTCGTTAAACCGAATTAACGCTGATGTCTGTGCATGCTATAATACAGTTAACTTTATACCAATTGTAGTCGATTATCAAAATTTCTCATAACTCACAACACCCGTTAGGAAAGGTTTTTGAAGCTGCTAAAAGCTAAAGCACCGTTAAAAAAGCTGCCGTTCATTTAAGTCTATCAAAGAAGCACACAAAAGCTTAAAAACAGCTGTTTCATTCATATGTACATATGTACGTACATGTGGTTCTATGACAAGATCAAGTGAACAGCTGGGTGCGCTGAAGTGTCAACGCAAGAGAACCAATACAATATGTAGAGTCAATGCGATGTTTGTTTGCAATTTCTCACACACATAAATACATGTACAAACACGCACTCACATGAACGACCACAACGATTAAGGCTACCGGGCTAGCGTAGCGTTGAAACAGCCATAAATACCGCCCACATTGACAATTTTATAGCAGTTTGTGACTGTTAAGCGCGTAGAGTTGGTTGGCTGGTAAGCGTTTAGTGCAGCGCGTACAAGAAGAAATAATTGTTTTCTTTTTTTTTTGTTTAAATAAGTGTTAAAATTAAAATTTGAAATAAAATTTGATGTGCCTTGTGAAGCGCAAATTGGCTGCTTATTAACTAAACAAATTTTGTGCGTATCGAAACAGTATTGTATTGAAAAATTAAAATCTCTTTTGAAATTTATGTTTATTCAAAATTCGCCTACAAAAAATTCCGAAGTTGTGTGCAAAAGGCGGGTCAAATATTTTTTAGGGACATGCATATGTAGACTGTCCCAAGTATATATTGTGCTTTTTAGCATATATGTATATACAGTTTTATGACCGTAGGATAACAATAACCCGTGTTGACTTTTAGTTGAAGTTTTAGTTAATAACATGAATTAATCCTCCATGAAAACTTTGGAAATGCGAAAAATTCGATATTTTGCCCATAGCGCAATCTGTATCCTTAAATTTTTAATTGGACGGCAAGATTTTTCTCAAGGACAACGAAAAAATTAATTAAAGGAGAATGTCCTTTGCACTTTTTATCCTTCAATATCCTTATATATATATTCAAAGGATTTAAATTAAATTTAATTAAACTAATATTCTTCAAACGCGTTGAAAATTAAAAATCTTCAAGGATAATATTTTTAAAGGACATTTTTGACATGTTCAAAAGGATAATTGAAAACAAAATTTATAATTATTCTTGTTGTGAATTTTTCTTTTAATTGATATCCATATATCCCACATTTTGTGTAAACTTTTGGAAATTATGTATATTTATGGTCCTTTATTTTATTTGAACAGTTTTAAACACAAAATCAATAAAATAAGGGTATGCGTTAGAAAAACACCACTTTGGTTTTGTAGCAAAAAACTCTGAATTTAAACAAATACTAACTCAAACCTCTAAACGCTCCAAATTCGTGCAGTAAATTGTTATCTACAGCTGATAATAAGTACACAACACAAAAATTTTTGCATAACAACAAAAACAGCGCGATAATACTCATTTAGCTCGAAGACAGCACGAAGACAGCACGAAAAGAAAAATCGCCGCTAAAATGCCGACTGAAAGGTAAGTGACAGTGAAAACAAAACATCAATAAAATGAACAGCAATAAATGCTTTAATTAGTTTGAAAACTTGCGCTTCAGTTGCGTGTTAATTGCAAAAATGCTTTCTATTAGGAAAAATAAAAGAAAAACAAGAATTGACTAGGGCGCAGTCCAAGTGTCTGTATTGGTATTAAATAGTATGCCGTGAGTTGCTAAGTTACACATAAACAGCTGATGAGCGCTGGTTTTTTGTTCACAGCCAACTGTTATCGCATTGCTCTGGCCATGCGGTCACTTGAACAGGTTTAACTACTCTGCTTGGCGCCTTTTGCAACTTTTTTGCCATTTTTTGTTTATTTATTTCTGTTCACTTCACTCGCTAAGTCACACCGGTTTTTTTTTCGCTTACGTATGTGGGTGTTTATGCATATGCATACATACATATTTATATGCTTTATACATGATCATACCAAATAGCAGACTTTGTACCATCCTTCTAAACTTATTGCCTTCCGTTCAGGAGATAAGCAACTTTTATAATTTAAATTGAAATTTGATAAACCCCATTTTTTATGTTTTCTTGTCTGGAATTGTGCTCTTTCTTGTCTAATGAAAACACTAAACCGAAAAATTCCACATAATTATTTATTTTATTAATTTCAAAGAAAAATTCCTACAACTTACCACGCTATTATTAATTATTGCTATGCGACTAGAAATGGTCTATTGTTTTCGTTTTTGCAACATAAAGCTGTGACATACATATGTACATACATAGTATGTATGTTGTTTTTTTTTTCTGTCTTTAGAACAGTCTTCTACATATTCCGTTTTGCTCGTTTCTATACATATTTTTGGCACTTTTGCATTTATTTTGTTCTTTTTGTTTTGAGTATGTACCACTTTATCAGCTAAATCAAATTTTATGACTTGTTATACCACGTCAGTCGGCATCGGGGAAGTAGAGTTAAGCATTTGGCATGTGAAAATTTTATAGATTTGTTACAATAAAAAAGCGTGTCTTGTGTTATTTGCATTAGTAAGCTACATAAACACGAAGCTAAAGTTAGTTTATAATTACGGTACAGAAATTCAGTGATCAGCTTGCAATTTTTTGTCTGTGCCATACATCACTTTACGTGCAAAATCATTTTTTTTCGATCAAGAACAATCGCTAATTTTGGATTTTTATTTTTTCGGTCAAATTGAAACGATATTTTGCGATAAAAAAAATAGTCGTAATTTTGAATTTGATTTTTTTTTTGATAATTTTTAATTGGAGTCTGCTTTTTATGACCGATTTAAATCTTTCATGATATAAAATATTGAAACTATTAAAGAAAAAAAAAATCAAAAATAAATATCGAAAATTCATAAAGTGAATATCCAAAATATTCAAAAATATCGATTATTATTGATCGAAAAAATAAATAATCATAGAATTAAAATTTTATTAGAAAACTAAAATTCCAATTTTAACGACTAAATACAATTTTTTGTAATTTTTATTTTAGATCATTGCATAGACTGTTTATTTATAGAGAAGCAAACAACTTTATTTAATTCCAACCAATTCTGATGTCACCCAGTATTTTATGCAAAACACACTAAAAATAAAATAACTACCAATGCCTGTTTATTGATTAAGGAGTTTCAATGATTTCCTTGATTTTATATCTTCGTGAAGTCTCTTAGAAAAAAAACTAAAAATTTTAAATATTTCCAGAATGTCACTTTCAGGAGAAAAAGGATTTTTTATTTTACTAACTTATTTCTCCAAAAGTGTGCAACTGACATATATAGGAAACTTTTGGCGAAGAAAGTTTAAACAAAGTGCCTGCCTCCCAAGGAAAACCTCACGTTAACGTCATGAAGAAGTTGGAAAAAGCTTAGCTTAGACTTCTTTCTAACAGTTTCTAACCGTATTTATTACTTTAGCATACTTTTATAACAAGTGACATTCTGAAAAATATTTTACAAGAATGCAAAAATAAGAACAAAACATTATTTTTTGAAAAGCCTGAAAGCAGTTTCGTATTCTACACAAATTTTAACGTACGCAAACGATTTCAGGGGATAAATTCATCAAACTTAAAAATAAAAAGTGAAATTCCTACCATGTGCATTTTATTTGGAAATAATCCAAACGCAAAAATAAAAGCCAAATGTTTTAGTGAAAATTGAGCAGTAAATAATCTATGATTTTAGAGCAGCAAATAATCGGTGGTTTCATAAAAATCAAAGTTAAGATTTAAATGAACGAACAAACCTAAAAAGTCCCAACAAATTACAATGGGTCCCAAAAAATAGCCGAAAAATTCGAAAAATCACGAATGATTTTATTTATTCAACATCAAATTTTAGACGAATAATTTTAATTTTTCTATCAATGTTTAAAAAATAGTCAAATATTAATTTTTATTTTGGGGTTAAAGAAAAACATTAGAAACGCAAAAATTATAAGTTGTGTTTGCTCAAAATACTAAAAGTTGAATTTTTTAAGGTAACAATGGTTGTACAATGCGATAAGCTTCTATTGGTATGACAATTTGTTCACTTTTAGCCCTAACTGCAAAATGTGCCGCTGATGCCACTGAAAGGGCAATAGAAATTATTATTACTCGATTTTTATTTTTTCGATAAAAAATAATGATTATTTTATTTTTACTTTTTTACTTTAATGATTATTTAAAAAACTATAACAGCGTGATTTCTGATGTATCCTCTTCAGAGATCCTAATAAAATAAATAAGTCACAATACACAATATTTTCAGGTAAAAATTTCAGTGCGTTGCGTCTGTATGAAAAATAAAACTCTATAATATCCAATTATTATCTCTGAGCGAAAAAATAAGAATCATAAAATAATCATTATATAAAAAAAATAAAAATCAACTAATAATTATTTTCGTTGAGCGAAAAAATAAACCTCAATAATAATAAGTATTATTTTTAAGAGAAAAAATGAAAATCATAAAAGAATTATTAGGTGCTGATTTCAATTATTTTACTCATGATTACCATCCCTGTTTATAGTGACAGAAAATGAAAAATAAAATTATCGGTAGCGACATCCTCTACAGATAGAGATATAAAGCAATTTGTTTACTGCGAAGTTATAAATATTTAGTACAGAAGTGGGTCAGTGCTTGTAAGTAACTAATTAGCTACATAATTAATTATAACATGTTTCAAAATAATGATTTCTTTTTTACTTTTCATTCGTACTTGCAGTTTATCTTTTCAAGTTTTTATTTCATTTTATTGACATTTGCCCTAGAAAAACTTTGAGAAAAAATCTTAATTCCCATTATTTCGATAGCGAGTCACTTGATCCAAAAGAGACAGACAGACGTTCGCTACATTAAACTATACATATAGTGCGTGACATAATTATAAGACCACCCACTTATTGATAAGTTTTGACAATTTTAACCTTTTTTCATTTTTTTTTTTATAAAAATATACCTCATTAGATAACGAAAACCATATTAATACAAGCTTCAAATTTTTGTACAACAATTAAAAAAAAGTTTTATCAAAATTTCACGCTATTTTATTATTAGTAAATTTATGGGTATTTAGTTTTATAGTCCATTCAATTGAAGTATAATAAAGTGCAAGTTTAAAGTGGCTACAAACTACCGTTGGAACTACAACATGTGTTACATTTCCAACTTCACTCGTAGCTTACTCTTTTACAACTGAGCTCGAACTGAACAACCTGCGCATGGCTGCAGGTAGTATACCAGTGTCGTCATATGTTCTTTGCAGCTCCGGAACATTCCTACAGAAACTTCTAGTTGCTGAAACTTCTATAAAAAAGCATTATTTCTATAAACTGAATTACTACAAAATAACAATAATTATAGTAAAAACTTTTATAGATAAAAAATAATAAAAAAGAACATAAATAAATTCTCATAAGTTATCAATTTAGAAGACATCGCATTTTAATAAAAGATCATTAACAAATTTGTCCCACTCTTGAATGACCACCATCAAAACTGAATTTATACAAATTCAAAATTTCGACACTCCAGTTAACACCCAAACTTGCAATGAAAGCATCCAACTTGACATCAATTAATGAAAAATATGTATATACATAAGTGCAAGCCACTTAACGCAGCACAGTGTAGCAAATATGACAGAGCACGCAACAAATCACCTAAAACGCGCGCAAACAGAAATTAGAAGCAGATCATAAATCCAATTAAGATCAATAAACACTTCGAAACGAAATCGAGATGCAAACAAAACAAACTATTTCGAGCAATCAAAGCAAATCATATCATATCAAATCAGAGGACGGGATAGCAACAACTGTTCTCATCAATATCTCGAGTTGATTTATGCAAAATTATTTACATATGTATAATAAATATTCCATTATTTGTTAAACAAGCGGCGAGTTTATTTGCTTGTTTGTTTGTTGTGACTGGTCGACAATTTATGCCAGCATACAAAAAAAAATAGTGTATAAAGTCAAATTGTATGTTGTAGTATGTATGTAAGTTGGGGTGGTCCAAAAACAGTAAAGTCGGAATTATAATGCTCTCACCCCTTAGGATTGTTCTATATCGAAAAAAGTATACCCCTATATTTTTTTTCTGAAATCAGAAAATATTTAGTGGTCGCTCAAAGCGCTCAAAGTTTGCCATGTAAATATTTTTATATGGGAAAAATAAAATTTTTCGTAGAAATGGTATTGAATTCTTGAGACTTTCAATTTTTTAAACTAGCGATTTTTTATTGGTCACCCCATTGCATTTTTCGGGGTTTTTGTAGGCTTTTAGTGGACCCATAAATTATAATTGCGATGAAGAAATTAACAAAAAAAAAATAAACAAAATATTAATTTTTAACTCTTCTTTACCACTTCTACGAAAAGTTGTTTTTTCCCATATAAAATACACGGAAAACTTTATGCGCTAAATATTTTTTCATTTCAAAATAAAAAAATAAGGGTATATTTTTTCGGTATAGAACAATCCTAGGAGGTCGAGCATAAAAATT